AAACAAAACAAAGCCAAGCCAAGGACCTTTTAGGTAAAAAAAAAAGGGCAGGAAGGGAGGGAGGGACACCTTCTAAACAGAACACCTTTAAAAACAAGAACCTTTTAGCTTAAAGAAAGGGCAGGAGAAAACCTTTAAAAAAGCCACAGAATCCAGCAAGCATTATTCCGGCACAGAACTCCTCATCACAGAAAGTCTAAACTGCATTTTACAGCCTGCCTACATCAACGGTCAGCACAGCCCCTCACAGAATATTTTCTGATTTTAAGAAAAAAAGACTGTGGAGTCTAAACTGCATTTTACAGCCTGCCTGCATCAACAACCAGTAACCATTATTACAGCAAACAGATCCCCAAAGAAAAAAAAGACTTTGGAGTCACATTTTAAACCCACACATTTTAAACCAACAGAGAGGTCACAGTACAGAAACCCGCAGAATGCAAAAATAAATAAAATTTACATTTTAAAATTACAGTCTACTTTTCACGTTTTAAATCCACACTGCAAGACCCATCAGGGCACAGAAACATAACCGCCCACCTAGCCCTACCTCCCCAACAAGCTACAAAAAAACCCTGTACAGTACAGTAAATACAGTGTACTCACCTAGAACAGGCAGTCTCTATGTTTAAAAAAAGTCAAACATTCAAAAATCAAAAATTAAAAAAGCAAAAAGAAAAAAAACAGTGTACAATACAGTACCAGGCAGTATCAGGCAATACTGTACCAGGCAGTCTGAAGACTCTCTCCCTATCCACTCTCTAACCGCTTGGATAAGCAATGTTGCAGACAAACAGTCTCTTTGCTGGCTAACGCTTAACAGAAAGTTCAAATTTCATGCTTTCCCTGCCTCCCCTATGGTTTTCTCCATTCGTATCTTGAAGCTCTGTTTGCAAGTAGAAGCAAAATTTTGTGACTGGAGCTGTTCATAAGTTGGATCATTCGTAGGTAGGGACGTTCGTAAGTAGAGGTTCCACTGTACTTTCCTCTTGCAACTCCTATTAACCTTTGCCACCCTATCAACTGGTAAGGGATGGTGGGAATTTCTATCTGGCAACAACTGGGAAATCACAGACTTTTCATCCTTGATTTAAAATGTAACCGATAGCTTGTTTACCTGGTCTTTGAGATCAGATTATGAAACCATTAATTTATGGACATGAAGATCATCTTAGAAAACCACTAACTTATTCTGCCTTGGGTCTCAGTTTGCTTTCAGCTTCAGTTGAGGGTGCTGGTTTTTGTAACCTTTAAGGCTCTAAACATAGTACAAAAAAGATATCATACAAAGAGACTCACCTCTTAAGAACCTGACAGAAGTGTTGTCATCACCAGAGACACTGCTTAACATCCTTCTGTTTTCAGCAGTCCCAAGAGATCTTTTGTTGTTGTTGTTGTGCTTTTGAGTTGGTGGGATTATATCCTGAGGAATATCTATCTGTTTGGCTCAGTTTCTGCCTAACAAAAATGTAGGAATAAATAAAAGTTAGACAGTTCCTCACAGAGCAGTTATTTGTTAACCTATTCAGACACTGTGGTAGCCAATGTTGTCAGCGTGGTTAGAGGGAAAAGCTTAGTGTCATTCTCCCTGGCCATTGCATTCTTCATCTTAGCAGTGACAAATCAGTTACACACATGTAAGCCCTGCACATGAGAAGGAACATTCCTTTCCAAGGGTTCTTAGAATCATAGAAAAGTGAAGTTGGAAGGGGCCCACAGGGCCATCACGTCCAACCCCCTGCTTAATGCAGGAATACAATCAAAGCATATCTGCCAGGTGATTATCTAAGTTGTTCTGGAATGCCTCTGTGTTGGAACACTCACCAACTCCCAAGGTTACCGGTTCCACTGTCGTACTGCTCTAACAGTTAGGATGTTTTTCCTGATATTCAACCAACATCTGGCTTCCTTTAACTTGAGCCCATTGTTGCATGTCCTGCACTCTGGGACGATCGAGAATACATCTTGCTCCTCCTCTGTATGATGTTCTTTCAAATATTTGAAAAGTGTTATCATATCACTCCTTGGCCTTCTTTTCTCAAAGCTAAACATGCCCAATGCTTTCAGCCTTTCCTCATAAGGCTTGGTTTCCAGGCCCTAGATCATCCTTGTCGCCCTCCTCTGAACTTCTTCCAATTTTTTAGCATCCTTCTTGAAGTGTGGTGTCCAGAACTGGACACAATGCTCAAGGTGAGGCCTAACCAGTACTGAATAGAGGGGGGCTAGCACATTGTGGGATTTGGAAACTATACTTCTGTTAATGCTGCCTAAAATAGCATTTGTCTTTTTTATAGCCATATCACACTGTTAGCTCATCTTTAGCTTGTGATCTACGACAATTCCAAGATCCTTCTCACTCGTTATGCTGAGCCAGGTATCTCCCATCTTGTAATTGTGCAATTGGTTTCTTTTTCCGAGGTACAGTACTTTACCCTTATCCCTGTTGAATTTCATTCTGTTGCTTTCGGCCCAGTGTTCCATCCTATCAAGGTCATTTTGAATCTTTATTTCTGTCTTCTAGGATATTAGCTTTTCCTCCACTTTTGTATCATCTGCAAATTTGACAAGCATTCCCTGCAGTCCCTCGTCCAAATCATTAATAAAAATATTGAAGAACACTGAGATAAAAAGAGCACCGCTGGACTGAGACTTGGGATACCCCACTTGTTACCTCCTCCCAGTTAGAGACGGACCCATTAATCATCACCCTCTGAGTACGATTCTGTAGCTAATTGTGTATCCACCTGACACTTGATCTATCCAGCCCACACCTTGTTGCTTGCTAATCATGATATCATGGGGCACGTTGTCAAAAGCTTTGCTGAAGTCAAGATATACTACATCTACAGCATTCCCTCTGTCTTTTAGGGAAGTTACCTGATCAAAAAACAAGATCAAATTAGTTTGGCAGGATTTGTTCTTGACAAATCCATGTTTGTTTGTAGTTATTACTGCACTGTTTTCTAGGTGCTTGCACAATGACCACTTTATGATCTGCTCCAGAATTTTGCCTGGGATTGATGCCAGGCTGACTGGCTTGTAGTTGCCCTTTTTGAAGATAGGGACAACATTAGCCTCTAATCCTCTGCACTTCACCCGTTTCCCATGATTTCAAGAAAATAATGGATAGTGGTTCTGAGAGTTTTTCAGCCAGTTCCTTCAGTACTTTCAGATGCAGTTCATCCAGCCCTGGAGATTTAAACTTGTTCAAGGTGGTAAGGTTCTTGCCTATTTGTATAGTCACAAAAGAGGAACATCTTGTCTTCCAACTGGTGGTTGCATGTGTGTAGAAGGCAACAGGAGGAGTCTAGGTATTCCCTTTCAGCATCATGGATAATACTAGATTCGTGCAGTCTAGTTAGGCCAGGGGTGAGCAATTAATTTCTCTGGGGGGGCACGTGAAAAATGTGAACTATGTTCAGGGCCAAACCAACTTTACTTTAAAATAAAATGAAATATTAATGTTATGATTGTTTTTATTTTAAACTTGTTAATCTTCACAAATACTAAAGAGGTTTTTTGCGGAATGTTAAAGATAAGCAACTGATCAACTTCAGACAAAAAGCTATAAATGGTTTTGATGTTCAAAACTGTCTGCGGACCGGACAGGAGCAGCTCATGGGCCGTATGTGGCCCTCGGCCGCACTTTGCCCAGGTCTGAGTTAGGCAATCACACAGGCAAATCTACTTACACTATTGTTATTTATCATACTCCTCAGCTTCCTCAGACCACAGAAACAGCTATGCACTCAGTTGCACATCAGTCAGCAAGTCAAGAAGGAGAACCATTGCCCTTAATGATGTAGTTTTCCCCAATATCATTCTAACTTATTGGACTTGCCAGTGGGAAACATCTACTGACATAGTGCAGATTTCTAGATATCTGGGAATAAATCCCATTGAATTCAACTAGGCTTGCTCTCAGTATACTTATAAAATGATGCATTGTAAGAAGTCCCCTGCCCCCAGCTTCTATAATATGAGCTAAATTCTCTCTAGCTGGCAGGGTCTTAACATAAAAGTATAATGATATAAATTCCAGCTGCAGCATTCTGTAAGCCTCTTAGTCAGCTTTCTCTGGGAAGCCTCTGTATCTTACCCATCACTGCTATGGTCAGTCTCTCAAATTCAGAGAGGCCTCTTTGGAGATACAAGAAAGAAGAAATAGGATAAGAAAGTTGCTTCCATAAGTTTGCTGTCATTTGCATTACTTGGAATCTGAACTGGTATCTTCTACCTTTGGGAGGGCTGTTGTATACTTTTCCTTTGATCTCCGTGAGAAAAACAAAACAATTTTAAAAAGTTTTTTCCTGCTCCTACCGAAGGTGGAGTAGCCAGAAGCACAAAAACTGGTACAGTTCTGTTGTTTGAGTGTTTAACACAATGCAGAAACATTTAAGGAATGCTTGCATTTTTTTCTTCAACTTTGGATCCATTTATATCATTTAGCACAGTGAGTTCAGTTGTGACATTGTACTGTGGTACATTTGCTCGGTGGGGGGAGGGCATCAAAAGAATTGCCATGGAAGTTTCAATTTCTAACACTGGATTTAGTGTAGTAAAAATGTATATACCATTAAATCTCTGATTTAACTTCTACTAGAAATGTGTTTTTGCACATCGCATGAACCTGACTTCCACCATCTCACCCCGCCCCATTGTGTCTCCATCTGAGGTGTTGGAGGCTCCTCCTGAATTTACTATGGGTTGAATTTTAGTTGGCAGCTCTTTAGACTTTCATTTGAAATTTATGCTTGTAACCAAAGAGATATAAGGTCTATGCTGGGGAGACTATTTGTTCAACGTGTTATAATTTTATTTAAATGACTATAACCATTTGATGTTAAATATATTCAAATATCCACTCTGCGGTAGGGACAAAAATCACTTGATTTTGAAATTAAAAATACCCTCTTGGTTACTTGTGCATAAAAAAGCTTGCTGTGGAAAACATCAGTGAATGCAATTCCTTTCTCCCCCACCCCATTTTTCCCCTTCAGAAGAAAACAATGACTGGCAAAAGGCTGATGCTGTTTGGACTAAAATGCAGGATGAAAATATTATTCCACGTGAACGAACACTGAGGCTAATAGCAGATATTCTTAAAAGTAATAACCAGGAAGTTCCATTTGATGTGCCTGAGGTAAATTAAGTTCAGTGTCTTTCTGGTACATTAGAACCATCTTAAATTTTGGATAGTTAGTGGGTACATAGGGGGACTTTGTATGCATGTATGTATAATGGTAAATAACATAAACTACTTGTTTTTTCTTTACGACTTCTCTTGATGAGCTTACCCAGATGTCACCTTCATCACTTACTGCAGCACCTGATGACCTTTGTCCAGAACTAATTAGGTTGATCAGGAATAAGAAAGAGAAAGGTAAATGAAGTTCTTTAAATCCTTTTTTCAACATTATTTGCTCTTACCAGAAAAGCCACAATGCCTGCCTGTGTACCCCAAAGTGTTATGACTGTTCCATGAAATAATGCTTCAGAATCTCAGTTTTTAAAAAAAACAGTGGATTTATACTGGCTGAAATCATCTTGAGGTCCACATAATTTGCAAGAACTAATTGTTGATAATTGATGATGCTCTAGGGCAGATCTCAGTTTTACCATCAGGCACATTGCCAGGCACATGGGTGAGACACACCTCAGCACCTGGGTCAATTAGCCGCAGTTAGTTGTAATAAGTTACACAAACCTTATATGAGCACCAATAGGATTCTGGCCTCTGATATAATGCTGAAGCCACAGCACCCAACAGCTTACAATACTGTGGTGCCTCGCTTAGCGATGTTAATTCGTGCAGAAAAAAATCACTGCTAAGCGATAACATCGCTAAGCGAAAATAAAAAGCCCATAGAAACGCATTAAAACGCCATTACGGGCTACGGGCTTAAAATTCACCTTTAAGCAAAGATCCTCCATAGCGCCGCCATTTTCGGTGCCTCTAAAGCGAGGAATCTGCCTGAAAACAGCGGGTGGCCATTTTGTTTACCGGGTGGCCATTTTGAAACCGCCGATCAGCTGGCCGAAAATGGGGGCTTTGCGATGATCGCTTCCCTGCGATCATAGCAAAGCGAAATTTCCCCATAGGGAACATCGCAAAGCGATCGCTTTTGCGATCGCAAAAACAATATTGCTAAGCGATTTCATTGCTATATGGAGCGATCGTTATGCGAGGCACCACTGCACTAACAATAGCAATATTTGAAATCCTGAAGTAATAATGAAACAGGAGAAAGTACTCTTCTTTTTAAAACTAATGAAATGTCCATAAATTATTCCTTATGTTCCCAAGGAATAATTTTTAAACAATTTGATACAAAACAAATGAACAAAACCCAGTGTTACTCTTTTAAATAGGAATGATACAACTCCAATAAAAAATTCACTAGCAACTTTAGATATATTCATTTCAGACTTAATTGAGATCGGGAGGCATCTCATATTGCAAGTGTTGATTCTGCCTTTAGTGTTAAGTTATTACAGCAGTAAAAATAGTGTTGTCCATAAATAATGGCTGCATATTGACCATTCTGCTTTTAACATTGTACAGTGGTGCCCCGCTAGACGCTTACCTCGGTAAATGATGAAATCGCTTGACGATGACTTTTTGTGATCGCTATTGCGATCGCAAAATGATGGTTCCTGTGGGGGAAATCCGCTTTACATTGATTAGGTCTCTGCTCCGCGAACTGTATGTTCGCTAAACTATGATTTTTCCGGTTCCGCAAAATGGCTTCCCTCCTTTCACAAAATGGCTGTTTTCCGGACAGAAGCTTCAGAAGACAGTGATTTGAAACAGCTGATCGGCGGTTCTCTATGGGCGATCTTCGCTGGACAATGAGGTATTTCCCCATTGGATCACATTAACCAGTTTTCAATGCATTCCAATGGGGATTTTTTTTCGCATGATGACGATTTCACTATACAGCGATTTTCCTGAAGCGGATTATCGTCGTCATGCAGGGCACCACTGTATATCTTCAGTTCTACATAAAAGGACCAGATTGGTGAGGAAGGGGAAGGTTGGCACTCTGCTAACAAAGTAGTCTTTAATCTGTCAATAAAAAGATAAGAGGGCATCATTCCTCCATTCTAATATCTCTCCCAAAGTTATACTTCTAAAGAAGGGCTACTGCTTTGGCCTTCTTTGCCAGTGGCACACAGTGTCTGTTAGCCTTTGTTTTTATCTGCAGGACAACATCTCTCCATATGATCTTCCCTGAGTTTTAGGTCTTTTGGGCATGTCTTCTGCATTGTGCCATCTTAACAATCATGTTTCATGGGGATATGGGAGACAACACTTTCAGTGATGGTTTCCATCCTGTGAAACAGCTTTCCAAGGAAGGCCAAACTGAATTCAGCTCTGTTGTTCTTCCTCCACCAAGCAAATATCTTTCCATTCAGGCAGGCTTTGGACAGTTTAATGGCCCTCTTAAGAAGAGGCACAGAGTGAGAAATGCTATGTTTTGGTTTTTTTTCCTTTTTCTTATATGCTTTTAAAAGTTCTAATGAGTTTATAATAGGTTGAATTCAATTTTTGATATTATAACTTAGGTAATTTTTCTAGTTGATTAATTGTTTTGTGTACTATTTTGGGTCCATATATTGGAGAAAGATGGACAGAAATAAAAATAAGTAAACTAATAAATAGGCATGAGATTAAGCCCTACATTCTTATAGAAATGCATTGCCAAACATAGGTCTGGTACTGCCAGAGGTTTGTGTCCCACGTAACAAGTCTTCCCTTAATAGGTGCCAAGATGGAATCTGATGGTTTTAAGTAGAACATGGTTTCCATGTTCTTTTTTGTGGAAATCCTCTCCATCTGATCAGTAGTAGAGGAGTTGAAAGGTTAATAAAGTTGAAAGGTTAATAAAGTGATCCAGTTTTGCTGGAGGGGCTAAATTATACAATAGTGCAAAGCATAATTCTTCTGCTGATTGGAGTAGTTCCTCTGAAAAAAGCACATGAGTATTCATAGCACATATGCTGACAATCTGTTGATAGATGTTGAGATTGTTGGCTTCACTTTATTCTTGACTTTTAACTGGTAAAAGAATATAGATTTTTCTTCTATGAGGTAATCTAAGCATTCTAATAACAACCTGGTATCAGTAGACTATTAACTTCTTTTTTAAAGCAGAAATTAATTTAGTCATCTTGACTAGCATAACATAAGCTCATATTTCATAAATATCAGATTGTGTGTGAAATCTCTTGGGGCAAAGTATGTGAGGAATTCAGTGTGACTTAAAACAATAAACTTCCTCTAATTATGCAGTGGGTGAAATGGTTCAGACAGGAAACTGCAGAGTAAATTGGCCTGAGGTCTTCCTCAGTAGACTACCTCTTATTTGTTAGTTCACCTTAACTGGCACTTATTGTCTCTATACATTTACTCAGAGATTCTGGTAATGAGAAAGGTTAAATTGTTATTTAATGACATTTAGTGAAATTTAATGACATTTCTTCTTAGATAAAATCAAACTTCATATTCTGTAAAAATATTGTCTGGTTACATCACTTAGCTTAATTGGTTACCTAGCTTCGTTACTGACTATTTATATAGTTGACAAAACATTCTAAATGTCCATTTCTGATAGACTCCAATGCTAAGACCCTGACTGAAAAAAAAACGGTAAAGAATCTGAGGTAGAGAAGGAACTATTGACTTTGAGGAGAAACAGCTGTACTGATTATTATTCAGCCATAGTCCAGAAAAGTCTCTTCCAGCTAAAAACTCATTGAAGGAATCATATGTAGGTTGCAATTAGAGATGGGCACGAATCACAGGTTCATCCTTCAAACAAACAGGTGTTCAGCACTTTCCAGCTCAGCTCCTCTGGTGGGTGCCCACTTAAGAGACAGCACCCAGAGGTGGCAAGACAGATCATGCCCATCTATACAGTGGTGCCTCACTTAGCAACGTTAATCCATTCTGGAAAAAACGTCGCTAGGCGATTTCATCGCTAAGCGATATTAAAAGCCCATAGAAAGGCATTAAAACGCGATTAATGTGTTCCTATGGGCTAAAAACTAACCTTTAAGTGAAGATCCTCCATAGGGGCGGCCATTTTTGGTGTCTCTAAAGCGAGGGAACACAGCGGGCGGCCATTTTGTTTTCCCAGTGGCCATTTTGAAACCGCCGATCAACTGTTAAAAAAGGGTTGCCTTGCCATGATCGCTTCCCCACAAATATCGCAAAGTGAAAAAACCCCATAGGGACCATCTCAAAGCGATCACTTTTGCGATCGCAAAAACTCCGTCGCTAAGCGATTTCGTCGCACAACGGAGCGATCGCTAAGCGAGGCACCACTGTAGTTGCAATTTATCCAACAGAACTTTCACATCACACATTATAGTGCCAGTGCCTGAGACCACAGCCTTTAATTACTCTAGCCAAAACATCATTTTTAAACAGAAAGCATGAAATATTGTGATGATTGTTTAAATTTATAGAATATCTCTTTGTCAGTACAACATGTTATGAATATATTGTTGAATAAATTCTTAATTTTCCATAATGTCATGCATGCCAATATATGCCTGGCTTCTAAGTGTACCATAGTTCAGGTATAAGAGTGTCAGTGGTTGTATGATCTTCCAGTTTGTTTCTTATTTATTCTTTTGTTTTGTTCATAAATTTTCAGTTGCTGCTGAATTCCACTAAACATGCATGCAGCCCATTGGATTTTTCATATTGTAGTGTATTTAAATATTTTAAATGATGCTTCTTTATATGAAATTAATAAGCAGAGAGGTTTTTGAGGCATATACCATTAATTTGCATAGTACATTATATAATGGAATTATGTTTCAATATAATGTTTATAGCTGCATAATTTTGTTCAGAAAAGTAAATGACTGAAAAGTATGGTTACCTTTCTCTCTGTTTCTGTCTCTCTCTCTCTCTCTGTCTCTCTCTCTCTCTCTTTTTGGTTAATGTCTTTTCACTAACTGACAGTTATTGTGAATGTGTGAAATAAAACTGTTAATCAGTCAAATAAATGCAGTTTTAGTTTACTTGTTAGATATCTGTATATTTGTAAATTGTATGTTTCTCTGTAAATCTTGTTGTAGCCAAATAATTTGATCTCACAATACTGAAAACACTGCCAATATTTGCTGAATGCTGCTATGATACAGTGGCAAATACTGTAACTCCCTTTCAGAGAATTAAAGATTGCATTAAAAAAATAATATATAGTACATATTCAAAATCGAGGGTACAATAACAGATTGTTAATGAACTTGAAATGACCAATTTTGTAGATGTAGGAGGCATAACTTTTCAGTTCTCAGGGGTGGTAGTCCCTGCAAATGTGACTTTGCTAGAAGTTTGAGAAAGATTTCTGTGTTTTAGAAGACACAGAGGAGAAACATTGATTGCATTTGAGATGAAATTTTCATAAATATGGATTCAAATGTAAAAATATATTTTAAAAAGGGATAGATTTGTTACAATTACTGTCTGTAAAAGGAGTGGAAAGAGACAAACCCTTTTCTACGGCATTTTAGCAGAAGCTAATATCTTTTTTAAAAATTCTCTTTGCAGAGGCATTCAGTATTTTACTAGACGCAGACAAGAATAATATTGTGTTTCCTAGTCATGTTTATTCCGATCTTACAAAAGGATTGCTGGGAAATGGTTATCTTGAAAACGCAATGGAAGTTCAAAAGATGTAAGTTTTTGGTGCATGCATTAATTTTTTTATCTATTCATAAGTTAACTGGCATAAAAATGATTGCACACTTCTATTTCAGGTGAATCTTCTATTTTATTTTAAAAAATGGCCTTGCTTAGGAGCAGCAGCAGAATGCAGTGGTCTTTCCACCATGCTTTCTGTCATGACTCTAAAAGAGGTTGGGATTCTTAGGTCATTTTGAAACTAAATGTGCATCACAGTGCATTCATATACAGTGGTGCCTCGCTTGATGACGTTAATCCGTTCCAGCGAAATCACTGTAGAGCGAAATTGTCGTCAAGCGAGGGGAAAAAACCATTGAAACGCATTAAAAACCGCTCAATGTGTTCCAATGGGTTAAATACCTAATCGTCCAGCGAAGATCCTCCATAGGGCGGCCATTTTCTGGTGCCTGTAATGCAAGGAATCCGTCCTAAGCACAGCAGGGAGCCATTTAAAACAGCGGGCAGCCATTTTGAAAGCTGCCGATCAGCTGTTTTCTGATCGTCGTAAAGCGAAGAATCGGTTCCCGAAGCAGGGAACCGATCGTCGGGAAGTGAAAAAAGCCCTTTGAAACATTGTCAAGCGGATTCATCGTTTAACGAGGTAATTGTTAAGCGAGGCAGCACTCTACTCAGTACACTTAACAGTGTACCAAATGGACCAGTCAACCAAGCCATGTTTACTTCTCATGACTGGATAATCTTCAGGGTCCCAAGTCCAGAAAATAAAATGTTGCAAATACAGCTTTTTGTTGAAGGCACAGACAGAATCATATACATAAGTAGAAGTACCATAAGCAAAAATGGGAAGTTCTATTTCTGTGTAAACTGTTGCTCCTGCGTTCTGCTTATATACTGCCCCATAGTGCCTAAAATACTGTCTGGGTGGTTTACAGTTTAATTATGCAAACTACACATCCCTCCCCCCATGAGCTGAGTACTTAGTTTACCAAACTTGGAAGGATAGAAGGCTGACTCAACCTTGAGTCGGCTACCTGAATCTACTGGGATCTAATGCAGGTTGTGAGCAGAATTTTCACCGTGGTACTGCAGTTTAACCACTGTGCCATGAAGCTGCTGAACCTAGTCATATTTCCAGAGTTTAATTAATATTTTAAAAAAGAACACAGATGTGTTGTACTTTTAGGGCATAAAAGAAAGGAGCCAAAGAAAAATTGTGGCGTATATACCAGAGATGATGGGTGCAAAATCAAGAAAGAACAATTTTCTTTTGTGTCTGGATGTGCAGAAGCATACACAAATATAAACCTTTGTGCAACAGCTGGCACTCCTTTCAGGTCTACAATAGTGTGATTCTGTGAGGCTGTTAGGTAGAAAGGAAAACACAAAACTGCCCTCCTTTACACAAAAAGCATTGATGGTGTGTTTACAGAATTTGCTGGGCCCTATTACATTTTCTTTATAGTCTTGTGCATTCTTAGGCCGACCTAGATGTGTTGGACTAGTTTGGTCATTAACCAGAAGATATGTATAATAGTAGTAGTAGCAGCATCAGCAACAGCAAGACCAACAACAATAGTAGTAATAATATTTCCAGATCCAGACTGATAGACACCTTGAACATAACACGTCAGACATAGTAACAGAATGAAGAAATATCTGGATCATTTACATTGCTGTTCCAGGAAATGCCAGAGTTGAAAATAAACAATTAGAAAAACTAGCAAAATACAGAGATCTGACAATCAAAACGTCAGGCTTATGGATGAAACACACTTCAGTGGTCTCTATAATCATCAGGCCTTTGGAAACAATATCAAGAAATTTCACACAGTATTACAGTAGGAAAAATATTTTCACATGCATTGCCAGAACTGGCCACTAGATAGCTCCAGAGACTATGCTATGTATATTTAACTAAAAAGTATTAATAGCATGGTCTCTAGTGACCGGTTCTGGTAATACATTAGAAAATTGTTGTTTCTGTATTTTGTTTTCTTTTAATATTTTTACACTGTGGATAAGTGAATCAGTGGATACTGATCCTGTGGATAAGGGAGTCCTACTGTATAAGCAGTTGCAGATCTCAGAAATAACTCAGAGCTACAAAAAACTGCAGTATTAGGAGCAGCATACATACTGTCCCAATATTTATCAGATACAGTGGTGCCTCACTTAGCGATGTTAATCCGTTCTGGAAAAAACATCGCTAAGTGATTTCATCGCTAAGCCATATGAAAAAGCCCATAGGAACGTATTAAAACGCGTTTAATACGTTCCTGTGGGCTAAAAACTTAAAGCGAAATTCCTCCATAGTGGCGGCCATTTTGGGTGCCTCTCAAGCGAGGCAAAACAGCGGCGGCCATTTTGTTTTTGCGGCGGCCATTTTGGAACTGCTGATCAGCTGTTTAAAAAAGTTCGCTTTGCCGTGATCGCTTCCCCGCGATCATCGCAAAGCGAATTTTAGCCATAGGGGCCATCGCTAAGCGATCACTTCAGCGATGGCCAAAAGTCCACCGCAAAGCGATTTCATCACTCAACGGAGCGATCGCTAAGCGAGGCACCACTGTACTTCGAGTTTTGGTTAAAACTTGTGTCTGTTATATAACACAAGTGAATGTTTTTATAATTTTTTAGAATGACCGCGCCTGGTGTTTTTGAACAATAATCATCTTATAACTGCAGAGCTGAGAGGGAACCAATAGATGATCAACTCCAGTCCCTGTCAAGGAGGCAGAATGTGCAATCAAATTCCCAGCTCCTGGCTGCCCTACCGTATACCTAAACCACTGAACTATCCAGCAGTTTTTAATACCAAGTTAATAATTTGTGGGGTACAGAAGCAAAGTGTATATTCAAGGAATTTCAAGATAAAGATCTTATTAGTGAACATTCAGAGGATCAAGGTTTTCTGCTATGGCTGCATGGAATACAGCCATGCAATATGTTGATGCTCTTTCCAGAAAGGAAAATAAAATGTTGGGGAGAGAGTAAAACTCTGCCGAACAAGATGATACTTAACTTCTAGGGAGACATGGACAGGATTGTGCTATCAGGCATTTGGGTTGTTGTTTTCAATTTAGTATACACAAAGTATTATGATTATAAAACAAATAAATATATAGTCTAGATGAATGATTAAATTCCAGGGTGGGATTGTTTTGGAGTAACTTTGTCTGGTTTACTATGTAGATTGAGTAAATAGTTGTGAATCATTCTTCTTGTTCATCAGTAAAAAATAGAGGTTTTTTTTCCTTCCCCCCCCCCCCCGCTTTTTTTAACAGTATGAATTGATACCCAAATTAAAATGACAACAACAAACGACTAAACATTATAAGAACATTTAAGTTTTCTGAACCTCTTAATTTTGGTCATTCCAGAATCTTTCGTGCAGGACTTTGATGAATTTTAGATATGGCTCTAAAATAGAAATGTAGTAGTATTGGAATGAGGGATTAGTTCTGTAATAGTGGCTAACATCTATTTAATCACACTAAAGATTGGAAGATTGGAGAAAGTAAATCCTTTGTTATATGTAATTTACAGTCTCATGCATGAATTGTTGACTTAAGGGCTTTGACAGATGGGACAAAGAAAAAAAAAGCAGAACTGAGCAGTGAGTACTTATATAGGGATTAAGGGGATTGGTTGGGAGAGTAAGAAAATCCTGAGTCCAGTGACTGCATTTATGGGGCCCAGAGGCTGAAAGTGACTGAGGAGATAGTCATATTGTGAACTCAATGAGGGATTTTCTTGGGATTGATGAGAATAATTTAGCAATGACCCTGCTTACCTCCCAATCCTCTCAGCTCATAAGTTCAAGTAGGTAGGTTGCTCAGTTGTTAGCCACAAGATGATCATGGTGGTTTATCTTGATTGTTGATATGGCAAATGGCTGTCCTGTACTCGCTCTGGCCAGAGAAAAATTTTTCTAGCCTAGAAAATGAACCTTGTAATGTTATCCTGAGATATTAAAAAAGCAAAGTCATTACGGATGTTGAAGCCATTTCAAGATACACACACACACAAAAAAAAGAAATGGATTTTAATTTAGTCTCTTCAGAATGTATGTTTCTTGAAAAGCTTTAACCAATATTATTAAACCCAAGCTCTCATTGCTGCTACAGACCTCTGAAGGAGTGTATATGTATGTTTGCCTTAAAAGGAATACAGAACTGATGAATGATGAAATTTAGTTTTAAGGCAGTGATGGCAATACGTTGAGTTAAAAAAAAACCCCTCTGTATGCATCTAGATGACAGAAATTTGAAAATTAAATCAACCAAATGATACGGTGTTGGTTCATAATATCCCTTTAGTTTATATTTAAAATATACTGTGCTGAAAATAAATGTTTCATTTTTTTATTGCAGAAAGAATAGTTTTACATTTTATAATTATGGTGACTGTTTTAAAAAGAAGAAAAAATATATCTTGCTTAGGATACAGCAGAACAATACCGGGCATGCAGTTATTTTAGTCATCTAATATGTCAGCATTCAAGAATCTGAACCGATTGTTTTAAAAAAATCTTGTACTTTGTTTCTTTTGTTGCTCATTTCCAACTTTGTCATCTGTCAGAATGCACAAAAAATTATCCTTCTATAACCATTGACAGGATAACACAAAAGCTGTCTCCAGGTCGATATTTTGCAGCAATATTTTTAACATACGAACAGTAGTTTTTATAATTTCACCTTGGTGCTCAACCATTTATTATCGTATCAGAAGCATGTCAGTAATTCCTTTCTAAATGTCTGCTTCTTTTAGCGCTGAGACCCACATCAAGGGCTTCGTGCTGAACGATGTTGCCAGCAGCCGCCTCATCATAGCACAAGTTAGGCGGGATTATTTGAAAGGTATGTCACAATGCTTGACCTTTACGTCACATTAATGCCTCTGCAGATTTTTCTTGTAACGCCCTTCGAATACTTGGATAAAGGAGTCCATTTAGCAAATTACCTGCTTATCAAGCGCCTTTTGTGGTAGCTGAGAGACGTAAATTACTGTACATGCATTTATAATACAGCTTGAATATGAATGTACTTGTCATTTGACCACTTAGTCCAGTTTCCGTTCCATTTAACACAAGATGGGTTTTCTTAAGATGAATCACAGCTCTTCAGACATGCAAAATTTGTGCTCCAGAACGAGAGAAAGTACAGGCTTTCAAGTGTGTTAAAATTCACAGCACAAGTCATTTTGCTTTGGAAATTAACATACCTTAGAGCATCTGAAACAATTCCCAGCAGTTTCTTCCTGCACATTGTGTTGGTAGTACAAGATATCAAGTGAGTTAAATTGAGTGTTAAATGTGCATAGTTGTGCACTAAATGATTATAATATTGATTTTAAAAAACCTTAATCTAATACTTTTTAATAGTTTGCAATACCAACAATAATGAAACATGGGTTGCGCTTTTGTGCTGTTTTTAAGCTTACATTGCATGGCAACAGTAGTGTTAGCTGAGCAAAATACATGCCTTAGAATGCAGTGGTGGATAGTTTTGTGGGTGGACTACCTCCATGTTTTCTGTGCATGTTGTTTGGCTTCAACTTTGAGGCTGTGCATGGTCCTTGCAGAATGAGTGGTTTTCATAGAACAAAGCACCTGTGGTGAAGTCCAATACAGAAGATTCACTCTTGTCAAAATTTGGTCATTTCATAGAGGGTTTTATTCTGAAAACGTTGAAGGCTGCTAATGAAAATGTGTGTTTTCTTTCTTTCTTTCTTTCTTTCTTTCTTTCTTTCTTTCTTTCTTTCTTTCTTTCTTTCTTTCTTTCTTTCTACCACTGAGGCACTTATGTGATTTATATGTTTTAAACAGTTCTTTATTATTCAGTTTCATGTGGGAGCCCATTTTAAGAAAATGGTAGTGTTCTAAGCAAGACTGCTTTCCAGACCTTCCGCATCCATATATGTCTTTTCAATGAACCTTTTACAATGTAAACAGTGGAATTTTCTTAATGCCAGTTTCATTCACATACAAGAAGGCTTTTAATATCTATATAAAATACACAGCTAGAGTCAGAACTGTACCACAGCTCTGTGTTTAATCGGCTCAATTTGCTGCTTGTTGTTAAGTTGTCATTCTCCCTTTCAGACATTTATTCTAGCAGCCTGGAATCAAGATCATATTGGGAACCTTTTCTAAAATCCTTTCATAAACTCAAATCCAGTCCTTTTACAACATAATTCCAGTAATTAGAATGTTTGACTTGGAACCCCCTCCCCCCCCAAAAAAAAACCAAACTCGGTTAGAGATGTGGTATTCCACTTGCCACAAAACATTGTATTTGTTTACACATTTCCTTTTGTACTTTCAAGTCCCATTGGCTCTTCAATATACGATAGATGATCATGGTCCAGTTTCAACATCTCCTCCTCCTTTATTCTTTTATCATTAACAAGGCACTTCATTTTTCACTCACACAGGCTTTTGTTGTGCTTGGCATCTCTTTCTGCCTGCTGAAGTCATTAAAAGCTTAGAATTGCCACTCATACTCATTTTTAACCTCCTCCAAACAGGTATTAAAATAGCTTCCATTCCAAAGGACCCGTTTTGAAAAGACTTCATGATGAAATCTGGGTGCTATCCTTGAAGCAGCTTCCAAGACCTATACCTATATTCTAAGACCTACACAGTGGGCTCTGAAACAACAGAGCTGCTCCAGATATGGCAGTTGGGAATAGCTAATGAGTAGAGATGGGGGTACAGTGGTGCCTCGCATAGCGATGTTAATTCGTTCCAAAAAAAACATCGCTATGTGAAACCATCGCTATGCGAAACACCATTTCCCATAGGAATGCATTGGAAAACGGTTAATCCGTTCCAATTGGAACGGATTGCGGTCGTTAAGCGAAAAAACCCATAGGAAACATCGCTAAGCGAAACAATGTTTCCTCCATTGGAATGTATTGAAGCTGATTCAATACATTTCAATGGCTTTGCGAAGTCCTTTTTCGCTCCTGTAAAAGTGTCTTACAATGTTTGGAAGCTGTTTTAAATGCTTGCAATGGTTAGCCCACCTCCTGAAACCTATGCAAACTAATTTTGGTGTTGTTCTGACACTTTGTTAATTTATGGTAATTTTTTGAATTTTCTCCATTGGAAACCATTGAATGGTCTGTTTAATGGTTTCCAAT